TAAATATTAATATTGATAAATTTTGCAAAATAGGTACAACAGACAACATGGGAATACAATTACAAATGGTTTATTGGCCCGCTCGATATTTTGAGAGACGTGGACAATGCTTCCTGTTGTAGTCTTCACCTCTGCAGTTACCACAAAACTTTGGTAGACCTTGCTCTCTTTGAGTATAATTCATATTTGTATGAATTCGACTAGATTTTGGATGACCTCTAACTTCCTTCGTAATTGTGGATTGAGGAACCATTCTTAAAAACAGTTGTTGGCCAATTTGCATCGTTTGGGAGATACTTAAACTCGCAACTGTATATGTTGCGCATAGTATGCATGCTATAACAATAATCATCGTATGAGTATGGGTTTATATTCACATGCATACATATAGCAACTGCACGAGCGTATGGGTATCTGAAGGTTTGAAATCGACCACAATCACACCATTTTCTATTCAAATAACCAATGGATAATGTCTAGTCCATTTTAGCACCGGATTGATACATTCAACAAGATTGGTTGTCATATGACCGTAACGTCGACCTTGATCGTCATATGCATATGACCATCTTTCCCGAGGTATCTCAACTAAAAAGTTATAAATCTCTTCTCCATACTTCCTCAGATTTTTTAGTCTTGCACGGAAGTTCGCTTGTAGTAATACTTAGCCTGAAAAAAAGTTAGGTTTAAGATAATAATAATGAAGACCATAAATGAAGGAAAAAGAATAGATTACCTATATTGATAATCTCTTTCTTAATCTTCTTATTCTTAAACATTGTCATAGCATTGGAAGCAATATGACGTATGTAATACGCATGAAATACATGTGGAGGTGACCACCTACTTCCAGGTCTATCAATCGTGTCCAATAACCCATGTGATTGGTCTAAGATCATACAAACCCCATCTTGGGTGACAACATGGGCACGCAAGTTTGACATAAAGAAATTATACATTTCCCAGACTCATTTTTAACAATGGCAAAGGCAATTGGGAAGATGTTTCTGTCACCATCTTATGCAATAGTTATCATCATGACGTGTTTGTATATGCCATACAGAAAAATGTCATCCACTTGAACAATTTGTGTGCAGTAATGAAACCTTCAATTAATGACTTGAAAGCCCAGAATAAGCCTCTGAAAACTCTCTTTCCTGGGATAAAATGTCATAAAATGTGGTCGCATAATAAGTATAAGAGCGAACAATGGTTCATGGGATGAAAAATTCTATTGCGTACAATAAATGTGGAAGCTCGTTGTAGAATAGTCCCAATAATCGTACAATAGTCTCATACTTTCTTTTTGGCCATCCAGGGTTTGTAGTAAGATAGACTATAACCAAATGTATTCCTTATTGATGCCACTATCATTGAAATCGGATCCTTGGATTTTTCTCGATTAGAAGCTTCACATATGTACATATGACATCGAAATCTAAGTGCTTGTAGTCTTGTGTTAAGGAGTTAAACTTACAATTATGCTGGTTGTGAAACATTGTAACTTTTTACAACATCCTTCGCTGTAGGCATGAGACATGTATCCTTCACTTACAGTCGACATTGTGGTTTATACACCTAGCAAAATATGTCTTCTGATCAGGCTCCATAGCATTAAATTTCATATGTGCTTTGATACAAAACTCTTTCACAACTAGTTGGACATCCTTCTTAATTTCAAACTGTGACCCAATTGCAACTATGTTGATCGCCGTCCAAGGTACCCCAGTGTGATGCGCTTATCTCTGACATATCAAGAATCTCAGGATTCCTCATGACATCATAGTTTATCTCATACATTGCAACTGGATGATGATATTGAGGCAAACAAGGTTACAGTATTTATGGTTGACTGGTTGTTGTTGAATGTGTCCAAACTGGCGGAGTATTCTGCAGTGACTGACCATGAAAAAACGTTGCGTCCTAGACATCACCCTCTATATCAAAACCTTGTCCGTCTGAAGCAGATTCGACGATATCAGAAACATCGATTATTGGTGTGTTATCATCCACCATAAGTGGAACTTAAGTTTCATCATCCTCGCTAAAATTAGAAAGGATTTCATCAAATCACCCGACAAGGTTATCTACATCTTATGATGGTTATGCTTCTTTGAAATAGGTGCAACAGTTGAGGAAGTAGAAATATTTGCAGTTCTAGTGTATATCTCAATCATTTGATTATAAGAAGATTGGTGAAGTCCAACTATAACAGCTACATTGTCATCATAATCAAGCTGGATTACTCCATATTTGAGCGGAGTCTTTGAAATTATGCGTCGATACCTCAAATATGAAACAAAAGCTCCAAGTTTTATTTCAATTTTGATCTTTATTTGTCGATGAGATACATCTACAATGAACATCATGTCTATGGGCCTCTGTGACATGAACACAACACCATCTTTAGTTTGGATAACTTGGTCATTTAAATGGACGATTATGAAAAAACTGTTAGACATAGCTTGAGAAAGTGTGTGTTTTTTGTTTGTTCAATGCAGTTGTAAAAATAACAAGTTATGTGAAGAATCACATGAAGTAAGACAATTTAAAATAAAGACGAGCTATCTTTAATTACCTTTTAGAAACATTTCAGTGAAATGTCATCTCATAATACACTATTTCAACAACTTTTCAGTGGTTAATTGATATACCATTTCAACACATTTTTAGTTGTAAATTATTACACCATTTCAGTAACCTTTCAGATGTCATTAATGCAACATTTAAGCAACTTTGCAGAAAACGGGTGCAACAGTGGTTAGAAATTAATTCATATCGGGAAAACATATATTTCTCATATGCAAATAATGCACCCTTTTAGACACTTTTCAGTGATATACCAACTAAATAAGAAAACTTTTTAATGGTGCATTAACACTTCATATCAGAAAAAATGTGTATTTCACATAGGCTAAATAATACACCATCTCACCAACTTTTTGCAGTTGTCATTTAGTCATCTTTAGTGATATATCAACTCATTTTAGAAAACTTTTCAGTGGTGCATTATCACTTCATATCAGAAAAACGTATATTTCACATAGGCCAAATAATGCAGCATTTCACCAACTTTTGCAGTGGTCATTTAATCATCTGCAACAACTTTTCAGTGGTGCATTAACAGTGCATATCAAAAAAACATGCATAGGCTAAATAATGCACCATTTCACCAACTTTTCAATGATCATTTAATCATATTCATCAACTATTAATATGTGTGAGTTGAAAGTCATTTTACTCATTTGAAGGGAAAAAAACAAATTCAGTCTTTCACTTCCAAAGCTTGAGTTTTTTTTTCAAACTTGGCAATTATTTATGCAATTATTTTTTACGATTGTAAATCTTTAACCATTTGTTTCAAAAAATATATTCAACTAGATAAGTTGAAGTTCAACATAAAAACAAGGGTTCAACTCAGAAGCAATAGAAGAGTATCTTCGTTACATTATAAATTGCCACTATCATGCACGATGTTTCATCTAAGTGATGATGTCGACTTTGTTGGCATGATTGAGACATACTTATATCATTTTTATCTAATATCGATTTGTTTGTATAGTTCGCTGATCTTAACCTAGCTTGTACGGTTAAGGATGTTGTTTCCAGCTCAAATATCCCACCAACTCAGACAAATGACCAAGAAACAAACATAGATGATGGAGACCAAGAAGCATAGTTCCAATTTATACGTGAACGACAATAACAAAAAGAATGAAGAATTGAAGAACTTAATATTACTTCTAACGAATCTACTTATTACGAAGATTAAAGCATCTTAATGAATGTTGCTATGTTTATGTTTTGATTGAATGTTTACGGTGTTTGTAAGGTTAGTCATATTTACGTCCTTAAGGTAATGTATCAAGTTTGTTGTTTTTTTCTTCTTAATGTGCATTTCTCATGGCTCGTTGATGTTCTCTCCATAATGTCATGTTTAATGGTCTAATGTAATGTTCATAGTTTGTTGCTCTTTTGAACAAAATCTTTACAATCTGATTAATTTTTCAGTCATATATCAATATGCTCGTTCCGACTCTTCAAACTAAGAAGATAAAAACAACTAAATATAACCACTCAAATTACATCACTTTAGCATTACGACTTTGCTTTTAAAATAGACCATAACTAAAAAAAAATAACCACACCAATATATATATATAAACTTGTCACCTCGACGCAACGAGTTTCAACGTATTTTTTTCCTAATTTTCCATCCAACTAAAAATAAAAAAATAATATTATAATGAAAGTCATTATCTCGAGGTAATGAGTTACCCAAAAAATATTAAAATAATACCCGACGAATAAAATAATTTTATCCCATGGAGGTGACGAGTTCCACCTTAATTTGTACAGCAAAAAATGTAATAGACCCTAAAATAAAATTCTAACAATCATATTCCCCAAAATTTGTTTCTGGGCTGACACTGGGCCAAAAAAACCATAGTGATGTGATTCCAATCCATTTACACAATATAAACTATCAGTTTTAATTTATTTTAATATCTAAACTTCTAAAAATTTTAAAATCATACCTAAAGTTTATTTTTTTATTTCAATACCCTTGTTTAAAATTTTACGTTAAATTTTGAGAAAAAATATTAAAAATTTAGATACTAAAATGGACCAAAATTTATAATTTATGCACTAATCGCTCTAAGATTTTAATAATGGAATACTAAAATAAAGCAAAAACGAACATTATGTATGATTTTGATTTTTTGTTGAAAATTTAAGTACTAAAATAAGTCAAAAATGATAATTTATGTACTAAATGCGTAGTTTACCCTAAAATTGATGATGCCAATAACACTCTCTTTAATCTCTTTAAGTGTTGTTTTGTGTTCGCTAAACAATATTTGAGAGATGGATCAGAATAAGGACGATGCAAGATTTTATATATGAGGTATGAATTTATAAAATTTCTAAGGGAAAAATAGATCTTTAATCAAAATTGCAAAAAAAATATCTAAAATATATAAGAATTTAAAAAAAAAATTTAGACAATTGCCCATCTATTTCCCATCGGTCCATCCCTATGGATCAGATGATCTGATGCATATGAAAACGAATAAAGCATAAGAAAAACCAACACACAGAATTGTAACAAAATCTCGTAAGATCACACTTAAAAATGTTGTTATTCGCAGGAAAAATTATTAGATAGACCTGGCTCACGACGTTATCCGTGGTCCTAACAAATAAGATCCATCCACCTTATTTTTTTCTAAGTTGAATCTTCACCTTTTTCCTACATGTAAAAAAGGAGTGGATAGTTATTTGGAAGTTATCTTGAGATGGATGGATCTTATTAGTTGAGACCACGGATGACGTGACAAGCCGGGTCCATCTAATAATTTCTTTATTGGTAGGGAGCTGTTGCATTTGATATGTGACTTCGAGCCTTTTGTGCCTGTAATTGAGATTTAAGAGACCAAAGAAAATAACTTTAACTAGAAAAAAAGTAGAACAACAAAAGGACATATTCAAAGTGTTAGAAAACCTTACCTCCATTTCCCAGTTGCATTTCATTGTTATGATAACTAGTATCAATGTCTGAACCACAGTTCCACATATCATTCCAGCCCAGATACCCTGTTTTGATATTACAAACATAACATGCTTCAGTTCTAAAGACTAGATATTTATTTTGATGTCTTGTACAGTGAAAAGGGGACAATTTCAGCAATGTTTGTGTGTTCCACTCTGAAGACAGTCTTTTTACGAAATAGAACTCTTTAATCGAAAACTTGCCTCGATACCGAATTGAAGCCATCCGAAGAAGACACCGAGAGGAACTCCAACTAAATAGTAGCTGCCTATGTTCACAAATGCCACCACACCTTGCCGGCCAGATCCGACTGCCACGCCTGAAAATGAAACCCGGTGATCAAATTATATTACGAAGCATAGGTCATGATTCCGAATAGATATTCTTCGTTTGAGCTTCTGACCTGAAAGAACTGGTTGGATGCAGTTGAGAAGAATGGTGAACGCCAATAAGGTTGAGAACTTATTAAACAATGTAATAACATGTGTACTTGAGGTGAAGATCATGACAAGTGCTTCATGAAAGGCCATAATAATTGACCAAAAGAAAAATCCAACTGCTAAAGATGTAATCAGTGATACTATAGTTGCAAATTTGGCACCGTTGGCATTGCCTGCACCAAGCTCATTTGCTACACGCACACTGCATTAAGAAAACACAACAGTTTGTAAATACGGAATGGATAAAAGAGCAGCAAGCAAGGGGAAAGATAAAAACAATGAAGGCAATAATTGATCCAGTGCATCGTGTATAACCCAATGCCGAACATAAAACTTGGGGATGGTTCTATATTTTATAGCATATAGGATATAAATGTGCTATGGAGATTCATCATTTTACTAGAGACACTACAATGAATGAGAACATCATCAACCGAATATATCATAGTAAGCAACCGCAAAACATGTATGGAACAAGAAAGAGAATCAGAATAACTCGTCAAAAACGCCAATAAGAGATAAATGTTCCATTAAATTTAAGTTAAAGACAATAGAAATTATCCACTTTATATCTTCCTTTTCTCCTTTCAACTATTGGAATTCCTATTTCTATTGATTAGCACTTGTATAGTGAGATGGGAAGGGGGCTTAGGAACGGCAACATACCCGGTTGCAGCTAAAAACCCCAACGGGATCATGGATTCCCAAGCAGAGATTGATATACTACAAAACAAAGAATTGAACATTCATCAAAGGGAAGCAGCAAAGTATGCAAACGGTAACCAAATAGTAAAAATTTGAAAAACATCAACAATAAAGGTGTGTTAAGGAAGTGGAACCAACCAAATTGAAAGAGCAGCAATTGCAGTTTCTGTACTGTGCAAATATCCGGACACTATAATTAATATTCTGTAATAAAAGTTCTCCAAACTGAAACATCAAAACCCCACAATCTATCACGAATTACTTCAGTATTATAAGAGCTTCAATCATGAATAGGTAAAAGAGACCAAGCACATACAAGACCATAACACCAGAGGCCAAAGCGAGCTTGAAAAAATCCCAAAGCTCAAAGAAAGCCTGTGCAGAGAAACCAGTCCAAGAAAGTGGACAACCACCGCTAACAGCATAAACAAAGAGTCCCACAACAGTCAACCACCAGGAGAAATCAAGGGTGATGGCAGTTCCAACAACCCCAACTCCCAACTTGTAAACAAAAACCCAACTTATTAACAAGTGAACTGCAAGAGCAATCCCAGAAACCCAAGCAATCACAGCAGTCTTCAGTTGGCTCTGTAGAAATTTTTGCAGTGTGAAGTGGAATGGTAAGCTCAAGTGAAATGGTATCAGCCAAATAGAAACTAAACCCGTTTGGTCAGCCACGTTGGTTGGTTGTCCCAGGAGCTTTAAGACTGGAGCAGCAAAAATAAATAAAGGTAGTAAAAGAATGGAACAAATGAAGAGAACAATCCATGAACGTTGTAAGTAAACACCCAGCATATGATACTGCTTTGCTCCGTACGCTTGTCCACATAAAGTCTCAAGTGCGGTAGACATTCCTAACTAACAAATAAAGTTTGGGTGTCAAGATTCAAATGAGATATTTTTGAAATGATTGAAAAAAAAAATTAGAGTTTCGATGTGGGTTATGGGTTGATACCAAGATTCCAAAAGCAATGGAGATGATAACAGTTGTGGCAATGGAAATGGCAGCGAGATTGAGGTCACCAAGGTGACCGGCAAATCCTTGAGTTATGACAGTCACGGAGAACATGGCAAGGCGGCTAAAGATGGAGGGTCCCGCAACAAACCATAACTTCTTTGATTCATCCCAGGCTTTGGAAATCAACTTGGGCTCTTGAAGCAAAGGTTGGTGGAAGTGTTGAGTTTGATCTGAGCTTGAAAGAATCAGAGCTTCTTCTTCATCTTGGTGTATGATGCCCATTTTTTGGCGTGTGAAAGAGATCCTTTGTCTGTCCCACCTCGAAGCAATCAGACTTTGAGGAACGTACCTGGGGCCCCGGAGACGCTGCCTCTGCCACCCACCACCACGCAATCGTTGACCCTCAAGATACAGTGGCGTGTCTTCAACTCCACTCAAATCTCAGATCTGTACCCTTGGGTTGGGCTTTGGTTTTTTTTATTTGAATATATAAAACCCAGCAAATTTTAGATTACCCACCGTTCTAACTAGGCAGGATTCATAATCTTTTATAAATTACTCATAGACCACTTCGAATTCATTGGTGAAGTCTTTGAAACCATTAAAATTTGTTAAGTTATACATATTTCTTTAATAATTTTAATGATTATAAGAAAATATTTATTTAATTTTTTAATTATTAATCATACAAATAATTTTAAATATTCAAAACCTAAAGAGAAAAATACTTCATTTTATCATCAATGTTACTGGCGAAGTTATTGAGAGCACAGCACGACCATCAGCAACATAACGGAGACCGAATTATTTTGCTGGGCCAAAGTGCATGTGCAGCCTATAGTATCCCAACAACGAAGAATCGCAGTTCTGAATGGTTTAGATTTGAGCAAAGCACCACCATGAGCTGTAGAACGTTAGACGTAACATCAAAAATATAATTCTCATTGGACCTTCTTGACAAATGTCACAGTAAATGCACTTCCGATTCTAGCCGGATCTAAAGAATCCATCCAGATTTCTTTTACATATTTTAAGATGTACAAGTCCAAAGTCTTAATACTTTGGCTGTCGCATAAATTTTCTTTGACAATAAAGAAGGTTTATCAGGATAATCATAAGAAAACAAATACTAAATATCAGCACTAATCAATCATGCATGTCTTAAAGTAGTAATAAAAATATTATACGATAAAGATTATTTTGAGGTTAGATTCACAAAAAGGTAATTACTTTGTCAATAATGGCTGCAGATGATGGACTGTCGATCTCCTCTACAAAGTTTCATCTTTTTACAAGGTGGCTAATCACAAATACAAAAGGAGGACAAGTTAACCACCATTGTTTTTTTCTGTGTAATTAATCAATGGAGGGGAGGGAACCTAAACCTGATGATGCCACCATGAAAAAACCTCTCCTAGTAATAAACTGCATCATCCTTTCTATAGGCAACTGCGGCGGTCCGCTTATAGCGCGCCTCTACTTCATCCATGGCGGTAACCGAGTCTGGTTCTCGAGTTGGCTCCAGTCCGTCGGTTGTCCCATCATCTTACTCCTCATCGCCTGTGCTTACATGTACCGTTCTAGGACGTCCGAATCCACGTCTGAAAACAAGCTTTTCTACATGAAACCACCGTTGTTCATAGCTTCCGCCTTCATCGGAATCCTGACTGGACTTGACAACTACTTTTACGCCTACGGCTTGTCTCGTCTTCCCGTTTCGACTTCCTCTTTAATCATCGCCTCGGAGTTGGCTTTCACCGCGGGGTTTGCTTTCCTGCTGGTGAAACAAAAGTTCAGTGCTTACTCCATAAACGCTGTGTTTTTGTTGACCATAGGGGCAGGTGTTTTGGCTTTGCATTCAAGCAGCGACCGGCCTGAGAATGAATCGAACAGGGAATACGTGTTAGGGTTCTTAATCACCATAGCCGCATCTGCTTTGTATGGATTTATATTGCCTTTGGTGGAATTAACGTACAAGAAGGCAAATCAAGAAATCAGCTACGCACTTGTGATGGAGATCCAGATGGTGATGTGTTTGTTTGCTACTGGCTTTTGCACTGTCGGCATGCTGGTCAACAATGACTTCAAGGTTTGTTTTTTTATTCTCTTTTACTTATTGCTTGGACCCGCGTTTAAAAGCAGATATGCCGAATCTTTTAAATTCTTAGTTTAAGAAATGAAATATCTTTTTTCTTAGGAAATTGAATACGTTTTCTTTTACTTGTTTAAACAATCATTTCATGAAAAGAAACAGTTATTTTGTTTCATTCTTGGGGCAGGTAATTGGAAGGGAGGCAAGGGAATTCGAGCTGGGGGAAACAAAATATTACGTTGTTGCGATCAGCGGTGCAATAATATGGCAGTGTTTCTTCTTGGGAGGAATAGGAGTAATCTTTTGCGGTTCATCTCTGCTGTCGGGCATTGTGATTGCTGTTGGGTTACCTGTTACAGAGATTGTAGCAGTGTTTTTGTACGATGAGAAGTTTGAAGCAGAGAAGGGTGTGGCACTTGCTCTTTCACTCTGGGGCTTCCTTTCCTACTTCTATGGTGACATCAAGCGAATGAGGAAAACTAAAGCACCTCCCCTAACCCACATGCAATCATCTGTGTCTCTCAATCGTCTCCAAAACACTGTTTAAATACATGCAAGAAACAGTTTCTTGCGGGACTATTAAACCGGTAATGTTTAAAGTTCTGTAATATTATTAAATTTAACTTTTTAAAGTTCATCTATTTCACTTATAGAGTTGACATCTCTCCACTTTCCCCGCTTTCCTAAGTTGTTGATTCAATACTTATTATGAACAAAAATTATCCCTTTTCCTAAATAAAAATTGTTAAAAGAAAAAAGGATTGATTTCTATAGTATTCACTCTATTCTCTTCAATAATTTTTTATGATTTATATTTCTCTAATTTCGTTTATCCACAACATGTCTATTTTTTTTAATAATAAGTTAGATTTTCATTAAATAAAAAAAGGGTAAACTATACCAGTAGTCCCTTTATTTTCGATTTAACTGATTTTGATCACCGATTTTTTTAATTAAGTGCGTTTTGTCGTTCGTTGTCCCTTAGTTGTTAGCTTTCATTAATTCATTAACAGAATTCTGAGTTGACAATTAAAAAATAAAAAAAAATCAAAAACACCCACGACCCACATGTTTAACACCCACGTGGGTCTTCTTCGTCTTCTTTCAAGAGCTGGAGCTATTCACCAATAAGTCAAGGGAACCTTAGAAGCTAATAGCTACGTGATGAAGGCACTCGCCGCACGTCGATGGCAATGAGTCAAGGGATGAACGGCTCCACCGGGAGCCGGTGTTTATTCTTACAAAGTGATGTGGTTATAACTTAACCCTCATACAAAACAGATACTACAACCATCGCCAACCATGACTTTCACTTTCCCTTTCAACAAAATCATGCACCACTCCTCATGATTTTCAGCCATGGAAGACAACCATCACCACCACCAAGAAACCTTCGTTGCAGAGGCAAAAAAATCAGAGAAAGAAACTCAAGATAAAGGAGATCCCCAGACCAAACATGCCCGGAATAAGCCTCCCAGCAAGCCATGTGTAAGATCTACCGAAACCTCCGATCACGGTGCTTTGATCACACGCATTGGTAAGATCCAGCAGCTAGCCATGTGTTATTCTAATTATTCCGGATGAATTCATGTCTCTCATGGAAGAATCCGAGGCTTCGGATCAGTCCGACGAAGATTAATCGACGGATCATCATTCCGATGAAGAACAAAACTATCCAGGCTATTCTAATCAAATGTTGATCACCTTGAATAAGATCGCCAAGGAGATGATCTATGGAGGATATGAATCTGAATGATGCGAGGCTTTGTGAGAAAGGGGCCATCAATGGCAAGGTGAGCATGAATAAGAGATGAGCAGCAAGCTATGTAAAGCTTTAGAATCGAATGAATACTGAATCTATTCTTATATATTTCAGTACACTGATTACATGGTTTTATAGCAGTTTACAGTAGCTTAGTAGCAAGTCTAACAACTCAACTAACTATAACAATATTGCTAACAACTTCAACTCCTTAACTAATCTTGCTAACTGTTTAACTATTTCAATATTCCCTCTACTTCTTTTTCTTCTGCTCTTATGACCTTGAACTCTAATCTTCTATTGAAAAACTTTAAATGCTACTTTAGCCAAGGGTTTAGTAAGACCATCAGCCACTTGACGCGTTTCTTGATGAAAAGACGAACACTTGAAACGAAAGTGCACTACATCCTTCCGTTAGACTTGAATCGGAAGTGTCGATGCTTCCTTTCGTTCGACTTGAATCGGAAGTGCCAGTGCTTCCTTCCGTTCGACTTGAATCGGAAGTGTCGATGCCTCATTCTGTTCGACTTGAATCGGAAGTACCGATGCCTCCTTCCGTTCGACTTGAATCGGAAGTGTCGATGCCTCCTTCCGTTCGACTTGAATCGGAAGTGTCGATGCCTCCTTCCGTTCGACTTGAATCGGAAGTGCCGATGCCTCCATCCGTTCGACTTGAATCGGAAGTATAGATGAAATTACAAACGTTCGATTTATCTTCGGACTTAGATTCGTTGAATGAGACCGCGAAGGAACTCTAAGTGTCATCTTCTTTGAAATCGATACTCCCTTTCTTAACAGGGAAAAGAGATGATTCTTCCTATTAACACGATGAGTCAAGTACAGAGATAGAACTCTGCTGTAACTCAGTGAAGTGGCCATTAGTTAAGTACGTCTCAGCTATAGAATTCAATACAAGTTCATGTTGATGCCACCCCAATTTTGAAACCAAGCCATGAACCCACTGTAATATCCTTAGTTGTCCAATGAAGGAACATGCATGCAAACTGCTCACAATTATCACCTCGTTGGGTGCAACCCCATCTTCTTGCATCCTAAAGAAAACCAGAAGTGCTTCATGCATGGATCCACGTAGCACAGAACCTGAAATAATAGAAATCCAAAAAACAACATCTCGGGAGCTTAATCTCTCAAGAAGCTTAACTGCATCTGATAAAATCCTAGATTTTGCATATGCGCCAATCAAAGAGTTCTGCAAAAAGCTATCCTTTAGAAATCCACCCTTGGTAATGTAACCGTGTAGAATACAAATGAATCCAAAACTGCAATTTTCGGAAATAATTTGTAAAACAGATGCTAGCGTGAATTCATTGGGGAGCTCATTCTCTAGTATTTGAATAAAAGTGGTTATCCCTTCGTCAGCTAACCTATTGTGGCAGTAACCTGATATCATTGCTATCCATGATGCCACGATTTTCTTAGGCATATGATCGAACAGCTTTCCGACGAATTCTATACACCCACATTTCACGTAAATATCTAGAAGAGAGTTATTAACAAAGACATTCGCTTGTGAAAACCGCGAAAAAGCGATGAAGTCTACAGTAGCTACAGCTTAAGAGAAAATGAACTCAATCGTCGGAGTAAAAGCGGAAGAGTAACCGACGCCAGGATCTCTTACAACCTGATCAGGAGGGTAAGGACCTCTGTCTCGGAGTGTTCAGTAAGCTTCAATGACGATGATTCCCTCGTTTGCAGTCATGTTCAAGCTATATTGTTGCTTAAGAACAGCAACATTCTCGATATGGCCTTGAAACAAGCAGAAAATGTCATCCACAACAGCAAAGATTTTGGGAAGAAGTGGGTTTTGCTTTTCGAGAGAGTAGGCCATGAAACCCGAAGAACCAAGATTGATAGTGACGGAGCCAGGATGAATAGAGGCGAAATGGGCAGCCAAGAAGCCATTGTTGAGTGCTGAATCTGCTCCAGAGTCGTCGGGAATATTAAGAGCATCGGGGCTCTTGGTAATCGATTTCTCGAAAACTGTTAACATTTTTTCCTGTTATTTTTCTTTGCAAAGAAAATTAAAGGCAGATGATAATTGTGACGGAAGCAATGGCTTTAGGATATTCGGCGAATGATACCATGTGAGAAAGGGGCCATCAATGGCAATGTGAGCATGAATAATAGATGAGCAGCAAGCTATGTAAAGCTTTAGAAACGAATGAATACTGAATCTATTCTTATATATTTCAGTACACTGATTACATGGTTTTATAGCAGTTTACAGTAGCTTAGTAGCAAGTCTAACAACTCAACTAACTCTAACAATATTGCTAACAACTTCAACTCCTTAACTAATCTTGCTAACTGTTTAACTATTTCAATAGGCTTACATGATTACTAGGAGGAATATGATTGAAGAATGCTTGAACAAGCTTAGATACGAGAAGATCACTATTGATGATGCTCAAAAGATGCAATGGAAAGCTTTGGAGAATGAGATTCCTCCATGGATCATGGCATTTAAACGATATGTTAACCTCTACTTCTCCGACGAGCGTAAGCTCGTCGAAACCGTATTCTCCGATCACGTTTTCTTATCCTCCGCCCACTTCAGCAACCTCGTTAGCCGCATGTTTATCCAGCTTCTCAGTTTCACCGAAGCGGTCGCCACCGTGAAGCGTTCGACGGAGAAGCTCTTCAAATTCCTCGACATATACGAGACGTTATGCGACAACTTGTCCTCCATCGACGGCAGGGTAGCTAAAGAATGTTCCGAGTTTCTTCAGAACCAAACGAACCAGACTCGTTGTCGGATCGGAGAGACCTCCATTTGCATCTTCCGTGACCTCGAGAATACGATCCAATCCGATACCAGAAAAACATATGTTCCCGACAAAGTCGTTCATCCCTTGACTCATTGTCATCGACGTTCGACGAGTGCCTTCATCACGTAGCTACTAGCCTCTATGGTGTAATTTAATGGTGAGTAGATACTAGAGATGTGCATGGGTCAAGTCGGGTCGGATTTTTGACCACCTGACTCTGACCCAATTACTATACTCCTTCACCTGATACCCAACCCGACTCGACTTTGAGAAGATTTCATTCGACCTGAACTCAATCTAATTTTCTAAAATAAAAACTTGATCTGATCCGACAAGACCCGAACATTAAAAAAAATCATCCCTAAATCGTGTTAAAACTCATAAATTAGGTTTCATCCAAAATCAAATAAATTAAAAAAAACAACCAACAGATATAAAATCAAGCAAAACCCATTGCTATATATTTATCAATCTTGTACCAAATCAGTATATTTGAATTCGAAATTCAAGATTTCAATTTTAAAATTTTAAAATTTTAGATTTGGTGAAAGAAATGGTTAAAAAGTAGAAGAAAAAGAAAGAAAGATAAATGCGAAATGAAGCAGAAGAAACATGTACAGAGAGCAAAATAATGTAACAAAGTTGAGAGAAAAAAATTAGAAAAGATTAGAGAAGGAAGCAGACAACACTTCTGTAAATATATAATAGGCTAACATCAACTTAAGAAATTAAAACAAAGTGGAATCTACCATAACCATCGACTTAGAGTTTAACCTGACACTAAAACTTTGACATTTAGGCTCAAACTTGATATGGGTAGCTGAGAAAACAAAGGAAAAAAAGAAGAACAAAATACATCAATGGAAAAATAGTAAACAATGATTGAAGGGTTCGATTAAGAGACAGGGTTTTTGATAAAAAAAAAAAAGAAATGTAAACACTAGAGAAGAACGACAACAATGGGAAACAAAATGAAAATAGGAAAATGGAGAAACC